ATAGAACTCAATGTAATAAATTTAACGTTTAATCTGATTGATATTAATGATTCAACTTACCATAGTACACTGGTTTATAGAATACAAAAATGTACTTTTTACTATTCTTCTTTCTTTTTTATAAAACTTCAAATCTATATTTATTCAAATAGCCAAAATATAGGGGTGTCTTCGTCTTAAATAGACGCAATGTATACAGGGTGCTTTTAATTGAATATCAATAATTACGGGGGTGATTTTTTGGTCCATTTTACTTTTACATTTTATTTTTTAGATTTTACTAGGTGAATATTTTCAAATGTACATAGAAGGTTGACTGAAACAGGTACTTTGAGTGAAAATAATAATTTAAAAGGGGCCCATCGGGAGCAGTTTTAAATTCTATTGATGAAATACTTCACAGAGTGCGCGGCAATATGAGGAAGAGTTGAATGTGTATCCTTCACTTTCAACAGCTTATCTATTTTTTATCTTTTTTTTTAAACTTGGTAATAATTTACTAACAGAGAATTTGGTTAAAAATTATTAATAATAGCTACTGTTTTTGTAAGTAAGAATCTTTTGTTATTTATGTTGATAAGATGTTATATTATTTCATTAAAACTGTAAAAGTAAAAAGAACTTCAGTGTTCTATTTTTTTTCCGAAGGACACTAGTTGCTAAGTAAAAACTGGATTATTTGTTTTAGATAGATAGATAGAAAAAAGTTCTCGATTAACCAAAATATTATTTGTTCATAGACAGTCAGTTGCACCCAACTGATTTCCTTTAAAAGTTAAGACGTTTAGGACATATATTCATATATACCGTTAATTATTAACATTTAAAAAACACCCTGTATAGTTCGATATCCACTTTTGTTTAATAGTTAAATTAATGGCAGAAAATACACAGCGGCAAGAATCTATTGAAATAGTAATTCATATTTTAATAATTTTGCACTCACAAAGATTAAAATACAAAAATCTCATATAGTTGATATGTAGTGCGCGAAATTTGTATCTCGCGTACTATTTCCCATACGGTTTCATGCTTTTTGTAGAAAAATAATAATTAATGTTTAGCAGAAGCAGTGACTAATATTACATATATGTTAGCGGTTAATATCATTTTGTTCAAGTTTGGCGTTGCATCTGTTGCATATTTGAAAAATATTGGTTCTTGTTTTAGCTTTGGAGCGAGTTGTTTCAAATCGATGCGTTTACAACTCGGTACGTCCCTGCGTTACGAATCACGCATCGAGATTCTCCTTCCTCTGCCTAAATTTTATTACGCACCAGCTAGTTCAATGACCGCTCTAGCGGGGTTGCGCGGCGTTAGGCGGGGGCACTTTTTTGGTTCAATAACCGTCTTGTCCTACTTTGGGGTCCTACAACACAGATAAATGGCGCTTCCCGGATCGCTGGAATGGGGACTCACTCTCCCTTTCATGTTGAGGGTCGAAACTCACTGTTTTGGAAGCCTTCGCCGGTTTTCATTGTTTGTTTCCAAGAAAACTGATTGGAGTGTGGTATAGCAAAAATCATTAGCTGTTTACCAATATGTACTGTTACCAAAAAAAAAAAACAATAAAAATTTAAATAAAAACACATAAGCCCAAGCGACTGTACGTAAGTTCCGAGTGCGCAGCGGCCGCAAACAAAACAGCGGCCAGCTTCCTAGAAAACTTCACAAAGTTGTGTCAGCAGATTAAATCCCTGGATAAAGTTAATAAAGATTCATACAAGCCCAAGAAGGAAGTGAGAGACGCTGCTATCAAAACAAGTAACTTGGCCGAGGTGTTAGAGGTGTTACTGCGCACAACATACAAGAAATGGTTGGAGGAAATTGCTGGCGGAGAAGTCTACAAGGCTCTCTGCACAATCCGTTAAGAAAATGAGAACCAAATCAAAATGCTATTGCCCAAACACGAAGACGAGCTAGCGAAAAATGTTAGTAAAGTGCTCCAATGCCTCAAAGCTTCGTTCTTGGTCCCACTCTATGGAACGTACTTTATGACGACCTGCTACACATTGAACTTCCCGACGGGATAACTCTTAAAACTGACCTTCTGTGACCATGATAAACAAGTTATATCAAAAGTGGAAAGAACCATCACAGCTCTATCGAGTTTGATGCCTAACCTTCGGAGGGCCTAGTATATATATATATATATATATATATATATATATATATATATATATATATATATATATATATATATATATATATATATATATATATATATATATATATATATATATATATATATATATATATATATATATATATATATATATATATAAGAAACAAACATCTGCTTTGTTTCAGCACCAACATCAGACAGGCCATAAAATTGATTTCGGTACTTGCAAACAAATAGCTAATATTCCTGATTTTAAGACCAGGATTATACGAGAGGCCATCGAGATAGAAAAGTCCGGATATCTGAATACGAGAGAAGACGCTTATCCAATACGTGGAGAACGATAATCAAACAATAGAGCGATACGCAGCAGTCAACGGGGACATCGCAACTACGATCGGGCGAAACGTCTGCAGGATTCCAGTCGGAGTTCAACAAGCGACCGGATGATATCCCGGAATATAGTGTCATCATATATTCATCCAAGGGTTCACTTCAGAATAGAAATTGAAGAGGATAACAGTCTGTCCTTTCTAGATGTACACATCATAAGGACCGCAGATGGACACTTGGAACACAACGTCTATAGAAAACCTACACACACCAATAGATATCTGAACGCTGAGTCTCACCACCACCCATCACAGATACCGGCAGTGGCTCACAAACGAGAAGAACACAATTTCTATTCTGAAGTGAATCCTTGGATGAATGAAATTCAGATGGTCTAGAAATTGCAACAGCTCGTCTTTGCCGAAAGACCATACAAAAAATACGTCATCAATGTATCTTGTCCATAGTTTTGGCCTCAGATTTGCCGTCTCTATTGCTTTCTTTTCGAAGTAAATTATGAAGAGGTTACCAATCACAGGTGAGAGAGATGATCTCATTGCTGCTCCATCCACTTGTCGATATATTTTCCCGTTGTACGTAAAGGAAGAATTTTTCAGGCAGTGTCTTGACAGATCCATTATGTACGGCGGACGATCTTCGTTTTCTTCTATAAGCAAGAGTGCCTCCTCTACTGGAATGCTCGGGTATAGCGATTTGACATCGAAGCTTGCCATAATGTTATCCTTGTCCATCCTGAGCGAACCCTAAATCTTGAAGAAGATAACAGTATGATCTTTCCAGATGTACACATCACAAGGACCGACACACACCAATAGATATCTGAACGTTCAGTGTCACCACTACCCATCACAGATACAGGCAATGGAAATACATTAATTGCTCTGTCCTTCAGGCTTACACACGAGAAGAACCTGTCTTCGGCAAAACGGATACCAAAGGCGCACCATCAGCCTATCTCAGTAGGACAACAAGCAAACAACACGAGCCGCAACAGAGACTGCAAGACGAAACCCAACAGAGATGAACTTATTATTTATTTATTTCTTCAGAAAATGTCGCGGTATTTGGTTGCTCTGGCCTGTTATCTGGAGATTTTAACAAAAAATTGGGACCAGACCACCAGATATCAGTTTCTAATAGTTGTGCAGGAGTTACGCCACGGCTTGCACAATCAGCAGGTTTCTGGACCGATGGCACATAATGCCAAGAATTGTATGAAATAAGTTTCTGTATGTGGCTAAATCGGTTAGCGACAAAAGTCTTCCACTTGCGGGGAGAAGAGAACACCCAAGCCAGCGTGACTTCAGCAGGTCTGCGTTGCTTCGCTTGACGGTAGATATAAGGTAATAGCCGCTTGATGTCTTTCAATGCATTGTGTTTTTAATGATGCAACTCGGCATTTCCCACAGACCAAAAATACGTTTGCATTTCCAGATAGATCAATAACACGAAACTATAGCACAGCTGCTTTAAATTTTGGCCAATCACTGCATACTTCCGTGGGGAGTAGATCTTCCCGCCAAAAAGCGGGAGCTATATAGGCCAATTAAAAAGGTTAAAGACATAGCTATTAAGAAAGGAAGAACCAAATTGGCTTGTACTTTCCAGAAAAGGTGGGACCATGAAAGATGCCGAAAGATTGTGGAATGTGCACTAAAAAACAGCGCGGTTACCGTAGAACTAATCTTCCCAGCTGATACAAGCAGACAAAGGCAATATGCAGGAAAAAACTCGCGACCACCGTCAAAAATTCCATCTGAGGCTGTCGTGGTAGAAAAATGGGACAGATCCTATTCGGAACTGCTTACAGCTGTGAAGATGGAAGTGAATAAACGACAACTAAGCAACCTAGTTAGCGGAGTAAGAAAGTCTAAAGATGGTAACCTAATATTGACAATAGAAAGGCAATATGGCACAGCAGCACACATGGCTGAGGCTCTTAAAGGCGTCAATGGTGATGCACTGATAAAATCCATAACCGGAAGTGAATCAAGAGCTATACTGCATATAAAAAACCTCGATGCAATCACTACCACGGACGAAATAGTAAACGAACTTAAAACATTTATGACAAGAAATAATCTTACGGGAGAGGTTAGAGTTAGCTCTCTTAGACCGTCTTTCAGAGAAACACAAGCTGCGACAGTTTTTGTCTCCAAAGAAATTGCACATAAATTTACGGAGGAGGGGAGAATCAGAATCGGGCTGGCGAGTTGTCCAATAAGAAAAAGAGTCAATATCACCTCGTGCTTCCAATGTTGGAACGTAGGACATATAGCTAAAGAATGCCCTGGGCCGAACAGATCTAAGCTGTGCATTCACTGTGGAGAAGAAAATCATCAACGAAAGGACTGTATGAAGAGCTTGCATTGTGTAATATGCCAGGTGTCCGGTCATAAACCGCTCAGCATGAGGTGCCCAGTCTATAGGAGGGCTGTATTACAAAGCGTGTAGTATCCAATCTTGAAAAATGGTAAAAATTCTCCAAGTAAACTTAGGTAGACGATACGCTGCACATGACATGTTACGGCAAGCTATAGGAATGAGGAAAATAGACGTGGCCGTGTTAAGCGAGCCAAATAAAAAAATTGCTACGAGAAACAAATGGCAGACAGATGATAACTTGGACTTGGCGATACAAGTGATAAATAACTCTGGGCATTCCCAATACAGCGGCAAAGGCATCGGCTTTGTCTGGATAAACTACTTGGACATAGTTATATATAGTTGTTATATATTCCCAAATGAGGGCGAAGAAACTTATCTTCGTTTCCTACACCACTTGAAACTAAGTATCCGTAACCAAAGGAATCAATGTCTTATATGTGGAGACTTTAATGCCAAGTCGGTGATGTGGGGCTCACCCATAAACGACCACAAAGGGGATATCCTCTCGGAATGGTGCTCTGAACTGGACCTGGTCATGTTAAACAGAGGCACCATGCCAACATTCAAAAAGGGCACCAGCGAGTCCTTTATTGATGTCTCATTCGCAACGAGTAGACTAGCAACCAGAATCCTAAGCTGGGAGGTATCGGATGAAGAAAATCTGTCTGACCATAACTTTATTTTCCTGGACATAAAAGAAGATAGTGTAAGCGAGACGAACTCATCTGAACAAAAACCGAAACAACTAGGATGGAGTGTAGATCACACAAAAATTGAGGAATTCCTAATAACTCTGGAGAAAAGATTATTATCTGTAAAAAGTACCAAAGATATGACACCAAAAGCATGGTCCGAAATTATCACTGGCGCATGCAACAGTATCTTTATGAGAAAAAAAAAACTGGGAGCTAACAAGAAACCTGTCTACTGGTGGAAATCACAGACAGCCAAACTTAGAAAGGAATGTCTGCTTAAAAAGCGTACCATCGAGAAACCCGCGCAAGCCTGAAAAAAGCTATCCGGGAAGCCAAAAAACAGGCGTGGAAGAGAGTAGTGGATGATGTGGAAAATGACACCTGGGGCATGGGTTATAAAATAGCTACCAAAGCATTATGTTTAACACCATCTCTCCAGATCACAGAAGAATGTATGTTACAGGAGCCTCGGAAATTATTTCCTTCTCGACCAATAGTAACCTGGGACCTGATAGTGGTGAATCCAAAAGAAATACCACCATTTTCAATGGAGGAATTAGAAGAGGCAACTAATAGACTTAGGTCGAGAAGGGCGCCTGGCCCGGACTGGAATCCACCAGAAATTATCAAAAATGTTATCAGGAAATTCCCTGTGCAATCTCTTAACCTTATGAACCGCCAGCTCTATAGAGGAGAATTCCCAAAAATTTGGAAAAAGGCAAGGTTAGTTCTTATAGAAAAGCTTCAGAAACAAATGGAAGTTAAATCGTATCGCCCGATTTGTTTGGTGAACGGTATGGGGAAGGTCCTGGAACAGTTGCTAAAGGAAAGGTTAAATACAGAAATAACGAGAAAAGGGGGACTGGCCAAGCTGCAGTTCGGATTAACCAAAGGTAAATCAACAGTCGACGCTGTGAATGTCGTGCTACAGGAAGCAAAAAATGCAAAGGCTTTCGCTTGGAAAAATAGAAAATTATGCCTCCTTGTCACGATCGATGTAAGAAACGCATTTAACTCTGCGCCGTGGCCTGGAATTGTGGACACTCTTAAATACCAAAATGTAGCGCCTTACCTGATACGCATAATAACAAGCAACTTTAAGGATCGGGAGCTGATGGTGGGCAATAGCCATACCATGGAGGTGACCTGCGGGGTCCCACAAGGATCTGTACTGGGGCCGACTCTTTGGAACATTTATTACGACCGAGTACTCAGACTCGAAATGCCACAACACGTGAAAATAGTTGGGTACGCAGACGACCTCGCTATAGTAGCAACTAATAAAAGTCAGGAAACGCTGGTGACATTGGCTAATATCGCCATTCACCGTGTAATGGAATGTTTAAAGAAAATGAATTTAGGACTTGCGCCTGAAAAGGCAGAAGCAGTGCTAATGATTGATAGCAAAACTGTGAAAAAAATCACAATTGAGATCATGGATACCCATATTGCCACAAAATCCGACACTAATTACCTAGGCGTGCATATTGATCAAGGAACTACAATGAAACGGCACATCATCAACGCATGTCAAAAAGCAGAAGCCTCGGCTGCTGCCTTAAGTAGATTAATGCCAAGACTACAAGAACTAACATCTACGAAGAGAAGATTATTGAGTTTAGTGGCTCATTCCATCCTACTTTATGCGGCACCTTTTTTGGGCTAATGTTCTAAAATACAGGAAGTACACAAATATGATGCTAAGGATCCAAAGGAAAATGGCTATTCGAATATGCAGTGCTTTCAGAACGGTGTCAACTAGTGCGGTGCTGGTATTGGCAAACATAATCCCAATAGATCTGCAGGTGAAAGAAAGGGAGAAAACGTACGGGAAAGATAGGGCGTTCAAGATAACCGCGAGAGCAACATCTCTTGAACATTGGCAAAAACGGTGATCGGAGTCGACCAGCAGTGGTCAATGAATCCAAAGACTAATCCCTAATATAATACCTTGGTGTAACAGAAAACATGGAACTCTTAACTACTATCTCACCCAGCTCCTCTCAGGACATGGTTGCTACATGGCTTACTAATATTAACATCCACCACAACGTTACAAAACAATCCCACTAACATAAAACGTTAAGGTCAATAAAATATCCGGATTGATAAAATATTAAAAGATGAAAAAAAGGCCGATTTGTTACAAATGACACTCCGTATTGTCGAGAAGGAAAACTAAATGTGCGGGAACTTATTAACAATTCGCAATAACCTAAAAAAGCCACAACCAAAAAACCAGTCAATGATACCAACTGTTCAGCTAACCATAACATGTGTAAAACACCAAACAAGGGAGGGAATTTTAAACAAGAATTCTTTCAAATATGCACCCATTGTACACTATTTATATAACTATGTTTACATTATTGAAGTTAACGTTAAGGGTAATTAGAAACAATCCTTCAAAAACGGGGAGAAAGAAACAAAGAAAGGAAACTGTTTTTAAACATTAATAGCAACAAATTTAGCAACCCACTACAACCTAACCGTATCAAAAAACTCTGGTAGCTTATGGTTCGCAGTACGACTCTGATTAAGAAGATAGGTGTAGATGCTACTAAGACCCTCAACATCCTTCTTTCTGTCGAGGCTATTACTACAACAGTTAATATAACACATCTCTAAAAACTTACGTTTGAAAAGGTTCTTTTCACTCTTTAATACTACCGCTTCATCGTACATGACGCTATGTCCGGTATCATTGACATGAGCACTTAAACTAGTAATATTTGGTTTTAACTTACAATCACTTTTATGAAGTGTTAGCCGTTTTTTTAACTTCTGTGAAGTATGACCAATGTAAATTAAATTGCAAGAGCATTTAATGCAATATACAACGTTTGACTTATGTAACGATGGGGTAATGTCTTTAAGATTGGAATAGAAAGATATATATATATATATATATATATATATATATATATATATATATATATATATATATATATATATATATATATATATATATATATATATATATATATATATCAATGGAACGCATAAATAAGAAAAAACATCTAACCGATGATCCCATCGCAAACCTAGTGTTTTTAGTATTTTAAGAAAAGAAGGTTCAGCCTTATCGAAAGCGCATGATTACTGAACGTCCAGATGGCAGAAAGTCCTTTATAAGATTTGGACGGTTATTTGCTCATTTGCTTAAATTAAATCACACTCGTTTTATAACCTGGATGATTCAAGATTGAAGTGATAGGGTGATTCTAAGGTAGAGCTGTCAGTTAAAACATCACATCAGTTAAGACAATCTCTTGGAAAGCGTTGAGAGCTTTCTCTCATCTAAAACCAAAATTACGAAAAAGCTACGTCGATGATACTTTCGTTATTTGGGCTCATGGTGAAGAATCCTTAGTAGATTTTCTTAGACGTTTAAACTCTATACTCTGTATTAGAAACTAATAATAACCTCCCATTCATAGGTAATCACTGTTGTCCTTCCTTACATTCAAAACATCAATGATCACATATCAATAGTTCTAAAGAAACATTACTTAATAAACAGATTTAAGGCTTGTCCAAAAATCTCTCAACATTTCCGATCCGCCAAAGACAAACTTTCATGGATTGGAGAGACCAGACACTATTTGCCTTAACACTAAGGCAAATAAACTCATCAGCAGTTGCCGAACACAATCACGAAACCGGACACAAAATTTTATTCGATAAAACTAAAAGGCTTGCACGAAATCAATTTTTCTACCAACGAAAAATCCCAGAGTCCATAGAAATCTATAAACAACCTAACAATCTTACCGCGACTCAGATCTTTACCTGGCACCAATATGAGAATCAGTCATCTGAGAGGGTGATTATCCATTTAGCTCCGGCCCCCTCAAACAATATATAAATAGGTACAGAGTAAAATGCGAGCCAGTTCGGAAGCCAACAGGATGATTGACTCACCCAAAAACCGACGCAGGAGGAGTCCAGAAGTTTTGTAAAAAGCCTGTGGAAGTTCCTTTGAAAAATCTTTTACATTTATAAATTCGACGTAGGCTGGAACATATAATTTTGCGCGTGTCACTAGAGAAGTCAGTTTGTGAAGGCGCAACTTTAACAAAACTAGAAGTTGTTCTTTTAGGATTCTGGTGCAAATATGGCTTAAAATTGGGTTTCTCTTTAGACGGAACGAATTTTGAAGTACAATGAATGTATTCCCGAGCTATTCAATGGCGTTCCAAAAAGTAGTATAGCTGGTGGTAAGTGGTAACTCCAGATTTAAACTATTTTCTTGTTCAAAGTCGGTTCTAGTTTTTAAATCAAGTAAATTTAACAACATGTTAAACAAAAGAAATTCCTAGTTGTGCACGGGTAAATTAAGTACTCTTAGAGAAACACTATTTTCAGAGAAAGTATTTAAAAGATATCTAAGATCTTTTGAAGTAGCCTTCTGAAGAGTCGGCGTGTTCGAAATTTCGTGATAGTACTTAATAGCTAAAATTCGTTTGTTCTGGTACCGTGTCTTCAAAGTTTTATACGCAATCTTATAATTTGCATTTGTTAAAGGAATACCTTTTAGTAAAGTCAAAGGTTCTTTTTCTAATGAAATTAAAATATGCTGAAATTTCTCAACATCGCTTAAATCATCATAATTTATTAAGCTGTTAAATAAATCGTAGAAGCTTGGCCAATCTTTATATAAACCCCTCAAACGTTCGTAAAGGAATTTTAGGCATTCTTGCTATAACCCTAGAAGAAGACCCTGCCTTGATTGGAAACATTTAAAGTATTTGAAGCCGACCTGGTAATTAAAAAATCGTACTTAATTTCTTTAACCTTATAATAAGCTTCGTCTGCTGCAATCCTCATGGCTTCGTAGGTTAAAAATTCATTGTTTATAATTAATAAAATTACGGTATTGTGAGCCGTTTGAAACTCCTGGTAAATATTGTCAATCGCATCAGCCCTTGCCAAAAATGAACAACGCAAAGATTCATCCCCAGCAACTGCTTTTCCAGCATCAAGCGATTTGTTGACACGATTATAAGCTAAAGTGCGCTTTAGATTAAGCTCTATTTAGTGTATCTTCCATTGTAAATATTAATTTTAATAGAAGGAAGAAGTGTAAAGTGAGAAACACAAAATATAGTCAGTAGTTCTTTTATAGGTACAGGTAGTAATACATTTATCAGCTATCTAAATCGATATGAAGAAACCTGCGATCGGAAAAAACAGATTTTTTTTAATAAAATACGCAATGAGGCAGTAAGTATCGACACGCGTACAGATCAATACAGGTTTGGTGCATTGTCAACAAAACATGATTCACAAATATCAGCTGTCTAATAATCGA